GCTCAACCACTGAGCCACCCAGAGATCTCCAGGCCCTTCTTTTAAAACTGTTTCTCTTGATACTGTGTGCCAGAAAAAAAGAAGATACTGTACCCCCAAAAAAGGGCATGGCGATAAAGAACGTTTCTGTCCTGCACCCACACCAGATTTTTGCATGTGTCCTTTTGCAAGCCTCTGTGAAAGGAAATGTCTGTGTGAGCAGAGCCAGTCTGAACTTCAACCAGTGCATCTCTGGCTCTGGACGTGTGTGAGCATTCACCTCTTCGGGGCCATAATGCAACTGAAGTCAAGAGAGGATCAGATCATAATGACCCATGTTGGCCCAGGGCTCCTCGGATGCCTGCTGGACGGACAGAGCTATGCCACAGGAATTGCTACTAGCTAGCTGCTTTTGGCCATTTCATGTGGCTCAATCTGCCCTGGTGCTTCCTGCTCTCAGAAGTTTAGGCCCATGGGATGCTGCTGCACTGCCGGGAGCAGGGAGCATGCTCCCACACCAAGGGCCCCCACTTGCGCAAAGGAAAAGCAGAAATGGGCTCTCTTATTGATTTCATCTGCAAATTGTTAACTTTCATTCTGATCCAACTCTGCCAAAAATTCATTGCATCCACCAACAGGATCTTTTAAATATTCTTTCGGTTGGTGCTAAGGACAGAACATCTGTGTCCTCCCGCCCCCCAGATTCATATGCAGAACCTTGGTTCCTAGTATGATGATATTTGGAAGTGAAGCCTTTGGGAGGTGATTAAGTCCGGAGGGTGCAGTCCTGACCAATGGGACGCCTGCGCTTAGAATAGACCCCCAAGAGCTCCCTTGTCCCTTCTGCCTGGTGAGGGCAAACTGACAACTTGGCAGTTTGCAGCCAGGTTCTCACTGGACATAGAATCTGCAGGGGCCCTCTTCTTGGACTCCCTAGCCTCCAGAACTATGAGCAATAAATTTCTATTGCTTCTATGCCATCTAGTCTACGGCATTCTGTTACAGCAGCCTGAATGGACCAACACAATTGGATTCAAACTCAGGATGACTGCCACGACTAAAACAAATGCAAAAGCAATGGATCAAAATCAGTTGTTTAATTCATGAGGCAGTTGAAGAAACATGCATTTGAAAGGATATGATACAAAAATGAAACTGAAAGCTCAGAAACTTCCAGAGGAAAAAGAAAAAAAATAGAAGCGTCAAGCTGCGGCGCACCTACGGTTTTGTCGAGGAATATGAAGGTGGCACAAGAACTCACCGTGATTCACCTTGTTTGTTTTCAGTGAGCAGGGACATAGAAAAGCATGTCCGAGGCCTAAGGCCACAGGTTCTAAGTGAAGCCCTGCATTCTCCTGGATCCCATCTGCTGGTTTTTGGTCAAAGCCTGAGCTTCCTCCAGTCACCCGCGACTTACAGTTTCGTTTTACCTTTTCTGGGAGCAGCAGCTGGGCAGAGAATTCTTCTCCCTTAGTCAAGCACCAGGAAAGGGAGTATTTATCTTCACCTGACAAATCTGACTTCTGGAGTTTTCTTTCAAGCAGTCATAGAAGCTGGGTTGACACTGGCAGGGTGGGATTGCATGGTTGCTACTGAATGATGACCAAATAGCCAGAAGTCACAGAGCAGTGGAAGCTGGGTGTTTTCTATTTCTCAAGGCCTAAATTCAAGGAATCTTAAATTCATGTAGTCTTCCTATTTAGTACATTTTTTTTTATTGTTACACAGATCTACTCTAGAACTTTCCTCAAGGGAGAAATAACTAAATTCTGTACGGTCCTGCCTCTAATTATTGTTAAGTGACATGACTTTTTTCTCACTATAGTTATGAGTCATGATGGTTTGGGGTCATGGTTAAGGACATAGACCCTGAAGCCAGAATGTCTGGGTTTGAGCAACCTTCTAGCTGTGCGACTGTGAGCAGGTTATGTGCTGGTTTTCCTCACCTGCCAAATGGGGATAATGTGTGCTAACTGATTTTTGCTCTATTATTATTGCCTCAGGTCCACAAGACAGAGACCCCATTATGAAGGAAATGCCCAGTGCATCTCTGAACTTCATCTTTAACTCTTGCTGATCAGAGGTCTACTTGTTCCTGACTAATAACTAGTTAAAAGAATGTCAATAAATCCACATTCTCTATTTTCTTGTTGTTCTGTCTCTTTCCACAAAGTCTTTCTTGTTTCATCTCTCTCTCTCTCTCTCTCTCTCTCTCTCTCTCTTTTTAATAAAAACTCTAGCAAGGTCTCCAAGAGCCCATGTATTTTTTTTTTTTAAGGTTTCATTTATTTAGGACACCTGGGTGGCTCAGTTGGTTAAGCATCTGCCTTTGGCTGAGGTTATGATCCCAGGTTCCTGGGATGCAGTCCCACAGCAGGGACCCTGCTCAGTGGGGAATCTGCTTCTCCCACTACTTCTCCCCCCTGTTCATGGTCTCTGGCACTCTCAAATAAGTAAAATCTTAAAAAAAAAAAAAAAAGAAAGAAAGAAAGAAACAAAGAAACAAAGAAAGAAAAGAAATGGGTTATTTAGGAGCAGAGGGAAACTAAGTATCAAGCAATCCAGCAGTTGCAGTTGCATTCCTGGGCATTTATCCCAGAGAAGTAAAGACTTATGTTTGCAAAAAACCTGTACATGAATGTGCATAGCAGATTTATTTGTTACAACCGTAAAATGGAAACAACCCAGATGTCCTCAAAAGGATGAATAAACAAGCTGTATATCCATACCATGGAATACTACTCATCACCATATAGAAATTAACTATCAGTACATGCAACATGGATCTAAAGAGCGTTAGGTCGAATGAGAAAAAACAACCCCAAAAGGGAATATACTAAAGATTCCATTTATACAATATTCTTGAAATGATGAAATTATAGAACACAGGAACAAATCAGTGCTTGCCTAGGAGGGAGTGAGGGTGAGAGGGGAGTGGGCATGGCCATAAAAGAGCAGTGTGAAGGGGGCACCTGGGTGGCTCAGTGCTTGAGTGTCTGCCTTCAGGTTAGGGCATGATCCTGGGGTCCCAGGATCGAGTCCTGCATCGGGCTCTCCCTGAGGAGCCTGCTTCTCCCTCTGCCTGTGTTTCTGCCTCTCTGTGTGTGACTCTCATGAATAAATAGATAAAATCTTAAAAAAAAAAAAGAAAGAAAGAAAGAAAGAAAGAAAGAAAGAAAGAAAGAAAGAAAGAAAGCAGTATGAAGGCTGGGATGTTCTGTATCTTGACTCTATCCTGGTTTTGATATTATACTGGAGTGTTGCAATGTTACCACTGGGGGGAACCTGAGTATAGAGTAAACTTGGTCTCTGTATTATTTCTGTGTATTTTGTCAACTGGATGTGAATCAGCAGTTATCAGGAAAAAAGTTTCTGGAAAACTATTTGTGAATTTTTATTTGCCCTTTTTATTTTATTTTCCTTCTGGATTACTTTGCATATTATATATATTATACCTTTTATTTATTATTATAATTCTATATTGTCTCATTTTTTTTTAAAAAAAGGTTTCTTTTAAGCTGGGTACCTTTGTTACATTTAGAAGAATACGAATATATACAAATATAAGCACACGGTGATTTCTCCTGGTAGTTTTGACCTACCTTTTCAAAGTTCCTCTATCTTTACCCATATTTTTAATTTTGTTTGTCATCTATTTTAGTACTTATAAAATCATAAAATGAGGAAGGGGCAGAGTTGGCTTTGTACAAAGTTGTCTGTCGGCATGTATTAAAAGCAATGTGTTCAGGAATGGAGGCAAAAACCTCTCACCAGAAAGCCTTGAATCTTCACGTTGACCTTGATCTCTGACAGTCAACAGCACTGGTGGTCTGAGCTATATCAGGGCTCGGGCTGGATCCTGGGGAGCTCAGTGCTGTGCCCCAGCTGGGAGCAGCAGCACCCACCACCACCCTGCTGTAGCAGAGGCCCGTGCAGCAGCGGTGAGAACTCCAGGTGTTCCCTGGCAGGTTGGCCACTGGTCTGAGGGCTGGTGCAGCAGGTCAGGGTCACCCCCAGTCCTGGTTCTGTCCTGGGAAGTGGGTGGGCAGAGGGCTGGGTGACCCGCTACTCATGCACGCAGGCACTGGACCACCCTCTGGAGTGCTCACAACAAAGAGATTTCGAGGGAGGAGGGCAATAAGAGTTCACGGATTTGTGAAGGTTCAATTCTGGCAATGAATGTCGCACAGTTTTCCAAAACAGTTATGGTTGCCCGCTGTCATTACCACCTCCATCACCCTTTGAATTTCTTTTTATTCTGGTGGTGTGAAAGGGCATCCCATCTCGGGTTATTTTGCCCCTTCAGGATTTTTTACTCCTATTCTTCCCCATTGCACTATGAGGCACCATCTTGCACCCACAGCTTCAAGCCAAAATCTCCAGTCATCCTGAATTCCTCTTCCCTCCGTTCACAGGAGTAGGTCCTGTTGGTTCCACTTCCAAACACATCTTTTACACTCCATCTCCACCACCGCCTCCATGGTCCAAACTACCGTGTCTCTCTCAAGGCTCTCACAGATCTCCCTCTATCCCTGCTAATTTGCATCCCCACTCAAGTGCACAAGCAGAGACCATGGCCTTCCTGAGACATAAGTCAAATTCTGGCATCCCCTGCTGAGAAGCTGGCTCCTCTCTACCTCCCAAACCTCCTGTTTACTAGATTTCAGCCACATGAGCATCGGTGTCATCTTTGACCATGTCAATCCCTTCTGCATACGCAAAGGAAGGCTTTCCCTCAGGATGACTGCCTCACTCTATCCTTTTAGGACTCAGTTCAAAAGTCTCACCTCCATGGAGAGGTCTTATCTATGTTAGGACCCCACACCTAATTACTGCAGCCACTTACTCTTGAGTATCACTGTGTTTTTCCCTTCACAGCAATAATGGGAGATTCTGGTGTTCATTTATAGTTTGTCCATTTCACCAGAATATAAGTAGACATAAGGCAGACATTGTGTTATTTTTATCACAGCTAAGTTCCCAGTACCTCGCAGAGCGTCAGAGAAGTCATTCAATACAAGTTTTTGAATTAATACATAGATAAAACCATTTATTTTTTTTAAAAAAGTGTAAATGTGGCTACCACAGCATGAAAACACACCAGAAGGTATGAGAATGACATGATAAGGATTCACTCATTTCAAGCAATGGCATGAATTTCACATGAAGTCAGATGAACACCTTCCCTCAAATATAATGAGCATTCCTGCGGGCTCACTTGTTCTGGGAATAGTATACATCTATGAGGAGTATGTTTTTTATAAAAACAACAACAACAACAAAAAGATAGTAGAACTGAAATAGGGACATTCAAGGAAATGAATAATGTTATACTAATCATTGTTTATAAATCCAAGTCCTAATCCAAAGTATGTTACAAAAGGGAAGTCAAAAGTAATGTTATTTTTATACCTCTCACACAAACAAAATTTCTAGAAGAGCTGAGAGCCTGGGAATTTTAAAGCTTTTGCACAAGAGGCAGGAATTTTATCTTTTGAGCGAGAACAAAAATCTTAGGACACATAGAAAGCATGTCTTTTAAAAACTGATTTTCACAGTAATTATTCTATCCATTTTTAGTAATCTTTATATTACTTTTAAGCATATCAAATTAATTCATTTATTTTCCTGTTAATAAAGAAAAGGTACATTCACAGAATTAGTGCACTTAAAATAAAAAGTAAACAGAGAAAACAGGAGACCTACAGTCCATAACCTCTTTAAGGCCAAGTTTGATCACCTAAAAAAACAAACTTTTGCTGATTTTACAACTGTTCTCATTCTTCATGTTGCAAATATGGCTGGTTTAGCAGTCCAGCTCTTTAGGGCAGCCTAACACAGGATCATCCAAAAATATGCTGAGACTTTCAGGATGCTGTTAGAGAGTCCATGGAATTTTGTGCGTAATGTTAAGAAAACCCTTTCAACTTTGACGTTCACCCCAGGAGCATCCGTCTCCCAATGGGTATCGACCCAGGATTCTTAAGGCTGGATTGCATCAGGTAAGAGGGCAGTCCGTTCCTCCTCTGTGCCCAGGATATTTTCGAGCTTAGATCTACATTGAAGGAAAAAAGCACAGAACCTCAATATTCCTCATCTTAAAAAAAACAAAACAAAACAAAACAAAAACCCAGTACTACACTCTACCTTCCCCCTCAAATGTATCTACAAAGTAATGAGGCTTAGAATGCCCAGAAATCTCCTGACTGGAAGAATGGGTAGGAGATGGTTATTTCTTTTCCACTCCCATAGGCTGATTTTTAAAGGTAAAAGGAATTGACCATACCTTCTTCTCTGTGAGTGCTCCCACAGATAAAACAAGCCCATTGTCACTCCCTTTAACACAAGTGAAGAAGACTAGTTAATGTCAATTCTCCAAGTCACATTTCTCCACAAATGTAAGGAAGATAAAAATAAAAGACTGACTACTCACGCTTGTCATAGCCCAAAGACCCTGTACAGCAGCTGCCCATTCAAAACCAATTTTCTCATACAGAAATCCACCCAGGGTTGGTCCTAAGAAAGCACTAACAATGAAAAGGAGGAAGAATATTAAATAGCATTTTTTAAAAAAATAACTACTTCCTAAAGTCTGCAACCATCCCTGAATCATGATCTTCATTAAACTGGAAGTGGATGTACTAAGGACAAAAGCCAATTCCTAGACAGAGCACTGGGTGGAGAAAAAAACTGTATCTGAAAATAAAGATGTCCAAAGTTTTTAAACAATTCTAAGGATGCCTGGGTGACTCCGTGGTTGAGCATCTGCCTTCGGCTCAGGGCAAGATCCCAGGTCCAGGGATCAAGTCCTGCATCGGGATCCCCACAGGGAGCCTGCTTCTTCCTCTTCCTGTGTCTCTGCCTCTCTGTGTGTCTCTCATGAATAAATAAAATAAAATTTCATAAAAAATAAACAATTCTAAAATTATGTTTCTGAAAATTTTCACAAAAATTTTTAAAAGTGACACACCCTCAAAAGAATCTTTATACTATTCTCTGCTTCTCCACATTCGTATTTAAAATAACTTAATTCAGTACATATATATTGAGATATACTATACAGTGCCAGCACACAGCTATCCCTCAGTACAGCAAAGAGTAAAAAGTAAATGAATGAAGAAGTGAATACATTTTTAAAACTTGAGACATGATCCTATTAAAAAGATTTAGAGGGATCCCTGGGTGGCGCAGCGGTTTAGCGCCTGCCTTTGGCCCAGGGCGCGATCCTGGAGACCCGGGATCAAATCCCACGTCGGGCTCCCGGTGCATGGAGCCTGCTTCTCCCTCTGCCTGTGTCTCTGCCTCTCTCTCTCTATCTGTGTGATTGTCATAAATAAATAAAAATTAAAAAAAAAAGATTTAGAAAGAGAACTTTAAAAAGACAAAACAGGGACGCCTGGATGGCTCAGTGGTTGAGCATCTGCCTTTGGCTCAGATAGTAATCCTCGGGTCCTGGGATTGAGCCTCATATCGGGCTCCCTGAGGGGGGCCTGCTTCTTCCTCTGCCTGTGTCTCTGCCTCTCTCTCTCTGTGTCTCTCATGAATAAACAAATAAAATCTGTTAAAAAAATTTTAAAAAGAAAGAAAAACATAGAAGACCATTTTGATGATGTTTTAAGACCACTGGTATAACCACCGACCTGGGAGCTGGAGGGTATGGGTTAGGACTCCAACTCTGCCCTAAATGAATTAGGTGCCTTTGGGCAACCCATTGGACTTCTCAGTATCAATTTCTTCACGGAAATGAAGATAGTATTTTCCATCTTGCAGGTAAGAATCAAATGTCTACTCACCCAACTGACCACATTGCGCTGAAGAGACCTGACACAAGTCCCAAGGTACTTAATCCCTCTTCAAAACCATTTTCACTGCAGAGACACAAGAGTAGATCTGTTATGAAAGGGGAAACCTATATGAAAGCAAAGAGTATGTGACAGAGAAGTTAAAATAGATTGGAAACGATCTGAACAAAACCAACAGCCAGGACACCCCATTTCTAATATGAAAAGCTAATCTAATTTGAAGGAATTTTCATAGTTGTGTTTCCTCCATGGTTTTCTAAAAAAAATTTTATTGCATATATAAAGCATGATATTAAGAGTCATGACCCATTTGCATGAAGTCTCATAAAAATATATAATTAATGAAGAAATTCTTAAAATGAGATGAACATGCAAAGAGAATAAGGAGAAACTTCTGGAAAACAGAGGCAGCTCCTTATGGCTCAGAGAATTGTTGCCTTGAGCCAGCAGAGCTAGCGCCATTCTTCCCGCTCCAGTTCACTTGGTGTTCTTCATTTTCATGCCTACTAAACAAGACTGGTGGCCACCTGACAAATGCCAGGTGTGATACTGTGATTTATAATGAAAAATATATATTTGGTCTTCCTCTTATTTCTAGCCAGGAGCCCCCAACACCCGTGGAATTTCCTAAGTGATGAAAGCAATTTCAAGTGCCTGTGGTTATGTTTGTGAAGTGAGTTACAGGGGCTCCTTGCCAGAAGAGTCAACCATGTGATTAGAAGGTGAGAACCCATTCCTCCCTCTGAGGAGGAAACAGGGGCTGGAGGTTGAATCCATGGCCAATGGTCAGAGACTGAATCAATCGTGAGTATGTAATGAAGTGTCTATAAAAACCCAAAAGGATGGAATAAGAAAGCTTCCAGGGTGGTGAACCAGAACTCTTTCACATACATGCCAGTATGCAGGAGCCCCAAACCCCGCAAGGACAGAAGTTCCTTTGATCAGGACTTCACCCTTTGTCTCTTTTCATCTGGCTGTTGATTCATATGCTTTTATCTCTTTTGTAATAAACCAGTAAATCTAATGAGTACACTGGTTTTGTGAGCTCAGTGAATCACACTAGCAAATTAATTGAATCTGAGGAGGTTGTCATGGCCACCTAGGGGACAGAGCCCTTCACATGAGGGATCTGCTATTCTCTCCAGGTAGATAGTATCAGAACTGAGTTACATTGTAGGACATCTACTGGTTCTGGAGAGTTGCTTGGTGGTGTTGGAACCACCCTCATCCCCCAACGCACTGGAAATGGTACAAGAATCATTTCGCCTGGTCATTGTATGCCCTGGTATGTACCTTCTCCATGAGAAGGAAACATTGCTCAGGCCTTTCCATTGTGCTTTGGCTTTTCAAAAGTAGACGTGTTCCTAGGCATAAGCCAAGCCAAGCCTCTATCCACAACTCATTTTACCCATCACTGGATTAATATTACCATATACTGTCATTGATATAGAACTATTGTATATACTATTTATATCACAATATTGTGTGATATAAAATCATGAAGATTTGGTCTTGTGAAAAAAAAAATCCAGCATTCTACAAAACTGAGAAATTCAAGAAAGTGTGTGATGCCCCCTGCTATTCACAACACAGTTCCTCAAGCACAGAAGTAACTTACTATGCACAACTGAGGATCTCCGGGATAGTTGGAATTATACTCATCCCAGCAGAGATGCCGTTTAGGACTAATATTAGCACCAGCAGCCAGAGCTGACTGCAAAAGAGTTTTGGAGAAAGGAACAAAACAAAACAACATTAGCATGCTGACAAGACACAAGCTTCATATTAAGGCAGGCAGGCTGAATCCCAGGGCAGCTTGTTTCATAGAGCACATGACTGGTCTGCCTCATTTCCATCTGACCCCACTTCATTCAGTGACAGTGCCCTCGAGCTCCTTACAGTTTGGTGGTGGTATGGGGGGAGGAGTGGGAATCAATTCACCACAATATCTCAGTTCCTTTGGTCACACATATCACATGCCTAGAGTCAACATAGAGGTTACCACCATACAACATCTTCCCAAACTGGCTAAATATTAATGTTGCTCCTTCAATCACTTGGCTTTGAAATTCAATGGACTAAAAAAAAATGGCATAAAGGGAAGTGGCAGGAAACAAATTTTGCTCCATTTCCTGCACTGTGCCACATACTCAACATCCATTTCCCCACTGAACAGCAATATCCTGCCAACTAAAAACTATGATCACCTCCTTTTTTGTAGGGAAGACAATGCAGGCTGCTGGAAAGTAAATGATTTGCCCAAGTTCCCATATCTAGTAAGTGGCAAAGGCAGGATGCAAACCCAAATCTGAAGGATCCTGAAATCCTTGCTGTTTCCATGTTACACTCCATCCCAGAACTACCTGAAAAGCTTTAAGCACCTTTTATTTTAGCAAATAAACTACATTTAACAAGCTCTAACAAGCAGCGACTACATGCTAAGAATGATATAGACACAAAAGAGGGTCGCCCAGGTGGCTCAGCGGTTTAGCACCTGCTTTTGGCTCAGGGCATGATCCTGGAGTCCCGGGATCGAATCCCACATCAGGCTCCCCACATGAAGCCTGCTTCTCCCTCTGCCTGTGTCTCTGCCTCTCTCTCTCTCTCTTTCTCTCTCTCTATGTGTGTCTCTCATGAATAAATAAAAAGTCTTAAAAAAAAAAAGATTTGATCCCAGTCTCAAGGACCAAGAAGGAATAGAAAAAACAAAAACATATCGTAAGAACTGTCAGCTAAAAGTAGCAACAAATGCTATTTTTAAAATAAAGTACAAACAATCATGCAATTGAGACACAGAGGGAGAAGCATCATTCTTTTCGTTTGATACAGATTTTAGACATTTCTATTTGCTTGTACCACTACCTCCTAGTAAGGTAAAATGCTGCCAGTCTAACAGACAATTAACTGTAGTCCTAAATCAAGGTAATTTACTGAAGTAATAAGGTTCAAAATACAGAGCCATGGCAGCATCACACCAAAAATTTCTTTAATACCTCTTAATGCTATTCAGCCAAAAATACAGAAGGAAAAACATTACCTTTTAATGTGCAAAACTGGTATAGGTCCTAAGAGCATGTAGCATCCTGCTGTGATTATGTTTCCCCAAACCAGAAACCATTTCCTTAGATGCTGGTAAAGAGAAGGACAGTCAAAAACAAACAAACAAACAAACAACCTCTTGGAATAAAGCACCTCCATAAACAAAGCAGATGCAAAAAAAATCACTGAAGAACACAAGCCATGACATGAAAAAATCCAAATACACTGAAAAAAAACACAAAACTTTACATTTAAGAGACAATAGGTACATGGCAAATAAAAAAGCAAGGACAATATACCCCAAGATAGGGAGTTTCTAAGAACAAGCATTCCTTGGGAAGGGAATGTACTGTAGATTTTGCATATGATGAACAATTCCAAAAATAACAATTTAAAAAGCAGTCACAAGGAGCCACCTGGTAGATGCAATACCTGAAACATTCACATTATTTAAAAAGTACCCAATAAAATTATTCCTTTTAAACTACTTAAATGCAGGCTGAAAATTCTAGGGGCAAGATATCTGTTCAGTGACAGAAGATTGTCTTAAATGGGAGTTTTTCTGTTCAAAAAGTCTAATCCAATAGTTTGTCAGCAACTTCAGCACAGACCCCTTTTTTCCCAGAAGAAGCAATTAAAAGTGAATTTTCTCAGAGCGATGGTAGGTTGGAAGACACTGGAACCTCTTTATTGACTCCAAAAATTGAATATAGAATTTAAATGTTGTTGCCCTTTAAAAAAAAAAAAAAAGATAACATAGAGGCGATGGTTGTGTTAATTAACTAGATGGAGAGCACCCTTTCACAATGTATTTAGATCTCAAATCACCATGGTGTAAGTTTTAAATATCTTATAATTTTATTTCTTAGTTATACAGTAATAAGCTGAAATTTTTTAAATTGAATATCAATTCTAATCAATGGACCTCTAGAGTTCCAGAGGTACAGTTCCAGAAAGCCATTGGTCCAAATATACAGGAATGATTCTTAAATGTAGATGCAGAGTACATACTGGCATTTTATCACTTAGTAGACCAAACAATGGCGAAGAAATGGCGTAGGATGATGCCAAACCCAGGAATACCAGTCCCACATAACCAGCTGGTAAGTTAAACTGTAAAAGAAATTTTGTGTTAGAGTTATGTGATTAAGTAATTTTTAAAATAAACATAGACCTTTTCTGGCCACTTCTTCAGTTCTTATTATCTACCATGAGCCCACACTTCCTAATTTTGATCTTACGTTTATAAATGGATTTCTTTTCCTATAAGGGGAAATAAAAACCTTACCAGAGGTCAAAAGTCCAAGATGTCTTGCTTTGTAACATTTGATTTTGAACCTTCAACTTTGCTTCTATGAATCATAGCACTTTTTACGTGTATAAACTTAATCAACTTTAGGGCACATTAGAATTACCCGGAGAACCTGTTAAAAGAGGTTCTTATTTGAAGCAAAGTGCTAACATGCCTTGGTTCAAGGGATGGAAAAAAAAAAAAAAAAAGAGGTTCTTAGACTTCAGGCCTAGAATTTCTGAGTCAAAAGGTATGGGATGGGGCCAGATAATTTGCATTTTTTATGTAGGCTCCATGCCCAGCATAGAGCCTAACATGGGGCTTAAGTCATGATCATGAGATCAAGACCTGAGCTGAGATCAAGAGTGGGACACACCTGACTGGCTGAGCCTCCCAGGTGCCCAAGGAATTTGCATTTCTAACAAGCAACCAGGTGATGCTGACTGTCCACAGACAGAAGTGCACTGGTATAGTATCCATTTCAAAGGAATGCTAATATCTAATTAAAGATGATATATACAGGACAAAAGGCTTTTCAAACAGTAAGCTACCACACAACTCTGATACTGTTACTACAGCCAGCATGATACAAACACATTTCTTTGCCTGAGTTGTTCCCACCTTCCTTAATTTCCTTAACTAATTTTCTTAAGTAAGCCCATGAAATCTAGGGCCAGGCCCTAAACTCATAGTCTCCACATTTATCTTTTTGGGTATTTCACATACACAAAACTGTCTCTAGTGACTTCAATGAGCTGTGTTTCTGATAACTGTGCTTTTGGAATACCAGGACCTCACAGAAAGTCAGTATGGGCTGCAATGAGAGTTCTGCCTTTATAAACACATATTAATTCCTCAGTATAACTATCAGGTAATGTACTTTACCACATTATTAATCATCTTTTTTCAGAAATATCTAAGAGAAAATTTCTACAACATCCAACTTTTAAATTCAACATTTTCCAGCATTAAAAAAAAAAAAAAAGATGGAGACAGACTCTTGACTCCTTTCTAACATCCCAGATTAATATATTCCATAGTCATGTAATTGTATGTAATAGCTGAAAAATTAAGTGGACTCAGAGGGGATCTGTTAGAGAGGAACATTAAATGAGCTACTGAGTCCCCCAACTGTCTCACTGGAATTTGAACAAGTAGAGGAAAGTATCCTTGTCCAGCAGCCAGGGTGATGCCCAAGCCAGACCTATGATCACTCCAGCAAGACTTTGAAAAGGAGACCAGTGTTCGGGCCACTTAATGAAAAGCTTCTTTCGTTTACCATGAATCAGAGCCCCAGTCACAGTAATGTAGCGGAGGGAAGGTTACATGCTACCCAGGTATGCAGTTCTTATCATGTCTCCTTCTCACAGCCACTCAAGAGCTCTTTCCACCAAGCAGGGCCCAAAAGCAAGCAATTATACCCACCTTCTACAGTGGAGAGCTCTTTGACAGTCAGGCTACCTACCTTCTCCAGAACAAACAGAGACAGTGTAGGATCAAGGAAGCCGAAACATGAGCTGAGTGAGTTGATGACAAAGGCTATGAGTGCAACCTTGGGTAAAGTGATGAGTTTCCAGAATGAGTGTTCGCCTGGATCAGAGTCTTTGGGTAAAAATTTAAAAAAAAATTAAAAATCAGAGTAATTAAAATTTTGACCTATTTTGAAAAGTAAAATTGCTAAGGCCATCTTTATCTGGTAATCAAAATAACCGCGCCTCTGAGTTTGCCTCAAACTGCATATTATCTATATTTGCATATAAATTATTTAAACCTAGAAGCCACATTGAGTCTCCTTAAAAACAGTTTCTCAAATTCATAAAGAATCAACTGGAAGCAGAGTGAGAGGAGAAGAGGGGGGTCTTAGGCTATTAGGTTATACCTGAAAAGCAAGTGAGGCCTTCCCTAGATGGGATAGAGAATACATAAAGTTAGATTTGGTGCATGGGAAGAGCCAGAAGCTTTACTGAGGAACTATGCTTGTATGCTGTGAAGGGATCTGAATTCATCACAGAGCATCAGTTTTTTTTCTGATAGCAAAGAAAACACCAGATTGAAAGGGGGTGCTACTGAATCATGCATAAATTATATTGGAATTCATGGCCAACGGAGCACAGACCTCACTTCTAAGCATTCCCCTTGCGGGAACCCAGCTTCTTCACTATTCCCAGCAACAGGAATGTCATGACTCCTTTTTCTCCTGCTAATCTGTCAAATTCTATTCACTCTGTAAGGTTTGGCACTGGCCCACTAATTTTACCTTCCTCTGTTTCCTACCACACTTCCAGTCTCTACCATACATTTTAGCATCTAAACTACATTTCGTTTTACATTGTTTACTATTGTCTGGTGATTTTCCCGATTTCCAGTTAAGTTATTGAGCAAAATCTTTGCTGGGTCAGGTGCCATGCAAAATGTGGAGCAAAGAAAGGCAAAGAAGACAAACTCAGCCCCTGTCCTCTCAGAGAAATTTCAGAAAGGAGTGGAGAGAGCTAGGATGGAACTAGGAGGGAACCTTTTGGAGCCTATAAGAGGACTGTCTTAAAACAAACAAACAACAGGGAAAGCCATATAAAGAAGGCTTTCCAAAGCAGTAGTATCTACGTTGGTGCCCAAAGCATGAGCTTAAGATGAGCAAGCGAAGGAAGAAAGAATAAGCCAGGCAGATTATTCCAGGAATGGTACATTCCAAGACTCAGAAGTCAACAAAACTTTTCTGTGTTTGAAGAAATGAAGGGAGAGAAGCAAAGCTGGAGGATGGAGACTGGAGCAGGGGGCACCAGCAGAGTGCAGCAGAGAGATCATAATGTAGGCGCATGTTTATGCAAGACTTTGTAAAATATACAGGGAAACCTGAGAAACTGCTAGGGATTCCAAACAAGGGGTAAGAATCAGAGCTGTGGTTTAAAGAGACCTCTCTGTGGCCTTGTGAAGAATGGAGACAAGGGGACCAGTCTGTAGAGGCAGGCCAGAGATGATATTGACCAGGTGAGGACAAGGAAGTTCTTCGAGGGCAAGGATCAGCACCTGAATATCCTCATTTCTCCAAAACACCTGCCATGGTTCATCATTTAATTCTTGGTGAATAATGATCCAGTATGGATCAAAACAAAAAAATGCACAAAGAATGGTTCAAGTATTTTGAGTCAGGATAAATTTAGACTTGGTCAGGATACAACAGATAAAGTTAAACCATGATGGTAGTTTCTCACTCATCAGCCAAATATTGAACAGTGAACTAAATGTGAGCACAGTCCTGGATGCTCAACTACAGAAGGTGTGCAGTTAGATGCAGAAAGAGGACAAACACCACCATATGGCTTGGTGCAATAGCGCCAGAAGGGAGACTTCATTTGGTGTGGATTTTAAATAGCTTATTAAAGATGTTCATTAGTTACCTTTGAGATACAAATGATAGAAGATCAATTTTAATCAGTTATATATTTTTGCATAAAAAAGGGGCTATGGATTTACGGTATACGATAAACTATTATGGCAGAAATGGTGACCTTCTCTAAATCCAAACTGGGAAAACTGAGAAATCACAACAGGAATATGTAAGAACATCCAAAGAAACAAATAATGAGTTTAACCAGAGGAAGAAGCCCAAGTAATGAAAACCTATGGTGATATCTACTTCAAGATACATATAGCAGAATCACCTGGGGAGCTTTTCCAAGCTACTTGGGTTCTCTTTCTGCTCCCCACAATTCTGATCCACTCTTTTAGGGGGGCATGACCCCCTGGTTGACTACACTGCCACAGGAAGCTACTGTTAGAGGTGGGGAAGCAGGGAAGGAAGTGGAGTGCCCATCAGATGTGAGGGGGCAGCGAAAACACTGATCCCTGCAGCACTACCGAATCAGCATTTAGTTGGGTGATGGAGAGGGTTCAGAAACACTTCCCAGTGTAAGTTTTGAAGGATGGGGAGGGGTCAGAGCAGATGGGATGGGGAGAGATTTCAGATCATGTGATTCTTCTACTGAAATCTCACAACAGCTCCTCATGGCTTTCAAGATAAAGCTCTCATTTCATGGATTTCGGGATTTTTAATAAGAGGATTGGTATGTCCATGACTGTGTTTTAGAAATATTTCTTTAGAGCAGGACAGAAGACTGGACTTGGTGAGCAAATACAAAGGATGAGAGAGTGGGAGGAACTAAAGTTGACTTTCAACCCCCCAAAGCTAGAGCCACATTGTCTATGAGTCTAGAAGGAGGCAAAGGAGTGGGATGGAACCTTGTAGGACACAAAATTTATCAATATCATCAAAATACAAGAAAAATTCAATTCTCTAGCTTCTATCCATAAGCTCTCCCCAAACACTAATTTTAACAAATATTCCTTAATAGGAACACCTAAATCTGTATGCACAGTCTTAACATTAACAACCTAGGAGATTTTTTTTAATACCAGTTTTCCATCTAAATAGAAGATCCTTCCACAGATGAACAGCAGTTCTGCCAAACCATTTTGTTCCTGAAAATATAGCTAACTGGGACTCTGTTAAGTTCAATGAAAATGCTAGGAGATTTTAATCGAGGAATAACAAAAATGAAGAGAAATAACTGCCAAGTACCCAGGCTGATGGCAGTCAAAGGGGGCTGCAAAACATACCACATTGTGGGGGGTTGGGTAGGGAGGAGATGAGGAGAGCAGACCAGGACTCCAGGAGTAACAGATGTTGGGGCCAGTCCAGCACCTAATCATGGAAATTCTACATATCTTGTCCTACCATTAGTTAGTTAAGTCTTTTTCTCTAGAGTACAGGGTTGACATGACTCTTTTCCCCAATGCGTGAGACTCTGGCCTGGGGCCAGTTTCTTGATTATCAGTCCAGTGTTCATCTGTGAACCAAACAACCAAGATGCTCGGCTACAGAAACCACTGTCTTACATGCAGAAAGATGACAAGCACCACCCTGCGTTTCAGGGTGGTACTGCCTCTCTATATTCTCTAGCTCTCTCCTCTCTAGCCTTCACGTTAACTCTCTAGCTCCGTTCCCTTCATCACCTGACAAGGGTCAAATGCCAAGGATGTTACTAGGCAATCTCACTGTAGTAAGAATAGCCCTGGCCTGGTAAATTTCATCCACAGAGAAGGAACTATCAATGAACCACATGCACCTGATGAGGACACCATGCTCTGTGCCTTCCTGACTGTGCTGACTCTGGCATGTTCCTCACAGTGACCTTGGCAGCTATGTGCATGGAGCTGTTACAAGATAGGTTGATTCATAAGGGGCATGAAGGTTTGAAGCCAGGGTGACCCCTATCACTGCCCAATGTAGCTCTGTGTCCTCCCACCTGGGATGACCACTGGGAAGAAGGTCTGACCTCGCCCTTCTGCCTAACGGCCTTCTGAGAAGATATTACCATGTGCAGCATTTGATAACTTGTCATTTTGAATACTTAATTAAGTCCAAGAAGATCTCGTGGGCACCTCATATGGTGATGTTTTATGATGAGGAATTAAATATCTGCTTAGTTCTAAAGGTTAGAAAGAATTTGTGATATAAAGAAATTCATATAAACTGCCTATAGCAACATTTTTGAAAAGACAATAAGTTCCTTCAGGGTGTTCTACAAATCTATTATTGATTACATAAAGTAAAAGTACTTGTTAAATTGGCCTCCTACAAAGGCATAAAAATACTTAAATTTCAGATTCTTAAAGTGAGTAATAAATGCAGTCTTACCATAATTAGGTAAAATGTACATGTTGAGTGGTATCATCAGCAGAACTATGCATCCCAGAAAAATAAAAGGCACCTCATAGCCAAAGGATTGATACAAGAAGCCACCTAAAGGAGGCCCTAACACTAGTCCCAGTCCAGAAAAAATCTCAAGACTTCCCTAAAAATGGGGAGGGGGGGAAAGAAAATTGAGTCAATACAGTTTGTTTGAAAAATTTTAACAAATAAAGATTTAATGGACACTATCTGAAAAAAATTCTATCCACTTCACAATATACACACACAAACCCACACAAGCCCAAGATGAGCCAAAAACTTACATATACATATAGAAATACTAGAAAAATAAAATATGGCAGATTTTTTCTGTTTTGTTTTTTAATCCTTATGGTGGGAAATTTTTCTAATTGTAACATAAAACTCAGATGACACAAAAGAAAAAATTCATAAATCTGGTTACATGAAAATATGAAAAACAGTGGTTAAGTACATCAAAAAACAAATGAGCAACAGGGAAGAAATACTAACAAAGGACTAATTTCCCCAAATATATCAAGAGAGCTAATACTAATCGGTGGGGGGAAAAATGAACGACTCAACAAGAGAATGAGCAAAATGCTATAAGCAGACTCTTGACACATAAAACAAAATACAAATAGCCCTTGGGCATGTATAAGAAAGCTCACTCTCACTTTCAAAAGAAGCAAACGGTTAAACTACAAGACACCAGTTCTTACCAATCACCTATTAAACACTCTGCTGCAAAGAAAAGGAGGAAAGCAACACACTCGTACACTGCTGGTGAGTGAACAGAAGAGGTAACTTGTCAAATCTATTAATATTACAAATGCATATACTCTCTGACCCAGAATGCTGTTCCAAGGATTGAATTTATGGGTACAGTTGTAAAGATGTGACATGGCATATGTGCAAGCTTATGTGTTGTAGCACACTGTTTGCATCAGCAAAAGATATAGACAATCTGAATACTTATCAACAATCTCAATAAACTATGGATGTATGTCACCTCCATACAGTGAAGTACCACATATCGCTGCTAAAGGAAAGTAAAGAGTAAGAAACTCTTCACATACAGGCACAGAATGATCTTCAGGATCACTGTTAGTGTATCAGCAAAGTCTCAACATTGTAGAGAGTATGCTACCACTAGTGTAGAGAAAACAAAGGAGGAAGGAATCACACCCTGTGTATGTGTGTACATGTTCATACATACATGGAATCACTCCAGAAGGAACCTATAATCTCTGTGCCTTCTGGGAGAGAGATTTTGGACTGCATGCCTGGACAAGTGTGAAGGTGAGGACAAATAATATACAAGATACATTCATTATAGTCTGTATTTCCTTTTGCAACTTCTGAATTTTATACTGTATAAAATTCTTTTTTGTTAAAATTAAAATAAACAAAACAGTGCTATGGAAAATATTTTACTATTAAAAAATTCTTATAAAACTGCACCATTTTAAATCAATCTAGTCTTCAGCAGACTGTGGCTTACAACTGTATATCCTCAGATTTTACAGAGGACACAAAAGTAGTCCGTTGAAAACTTTCAATTTCATAAAGAATATAAGAATTCTACATTTAGGGATGCCTGGGTGGCTCAGTGATTGAGTGTCTGCCTTTGGCTCGGGGTGTGATCCCAGGTCCTGGGATCCCTGAGTCCCGCATTGGGCTCCCAGTGGGAAGCCTGCTTCTCCCTCTGCCTGTGTCTCTGCCTCTCTTTCTCTCTCTGTATGTCTCTCTCTCTCTGTCTCTCATGAATGAGTAAAACCTTTAAAAAAAAAAAAAAAGTCTACATTTAAGTACAGGGAAGCCATCCAGGTCAACTACCATGTTAGGTGTATCAGCTTTTGGCTGCAATTTTCATATAGAAACGTGGTACGGTAACATGAATATTCCCTGTTAATCAGAAAATTGATCAAATGGACTATTGCTGTCATCACAGGAATTTCTTGGGCAGCACTTTCCAGAGCGTCCCACAGAACAGCAGTTCTTTAAGAGTCAAAAAGTGTTTCCATAGTCAAACTGAGTTGTGGAAAATTATATAAAATATCTTTACTACAGGATTTCTCAGAGCCTTAATACACTCATGTGAACTGGCATCTCTAAGCTGGAGGACAACAGATGTGTACTCCTAACATTTCACTCACAAAACCTTGTTTTAGAGAGCATGTCAATGAACTAGTGTTCTTCTGAATCATTTTTGTAAAATGTGTTTCTGGGAAATGTAAGCATTACACCTGTCACAGTGGCCATTCCTGCATGCCCAATGGCTAAGGAACCCAAAATGAACCTAAGCAGCTAGCTGGCTATAGATACAGATATTTAACCAAAATTGGGAAGAAATAATTATCTAAACAGCAGTGTATTTAATGGCCAAAACTATAATATTGAGTAAATATGGGCATTCTTGGTACTAAGCTGATGAGGTCCTAAAGTCTAGAGGACAATGATTTATTTATTCTGAGGGCTGCATTTGGTCTTACAGACAAGCCACAGACCCTTTAGGAATGCATGGGTCCAGAGGAGAGGCCAGAAGACAGCCTGCTTGGGTCAGAGGCAGTAGCCAAGAGCTAGGACAGAAATCTGGTATGTCACTAATCCTAGGTATTTAGCATCTAGCCAATCTATGAGAATGTGTGTCAGAATAATGTTATCAAGTGATTGGGGAAAAAGTAAGAGAGCATGCAAGGCTTTCAAGATCTCTACGATTCCTTCCATGAATCTGGAAAATGGAGGGGAAGAACTCTCGTGTAAATCAAGTGTTTGACCATTAGGGATAACTCTTCTAAAGCCAAGAAATGCTGGCAGCTCAGTTTCAGCCTGGGCTACAGAGAGACAACAAAATACTACTGGGGAGCTTATTTTGTTTTGTTCTTAATGGCAAAAAGAATACTTGAACCACATTTACCTGTCAAACTGCTCATTCAGGGGATTCTAAGCGTAGGAAGAGATCTAAAGAAGACTAATGATACTTTGGCGACAGCCTGCTGCTGTAAGTAGTAATTGGGGAAAAAAGGCAACCAAAACACAGAAAATAGAAAAAAGTAGATCTCGAAGAATGGATGTCAGCATTAACTTGGATAGGGCAAATATTTTAGCCTACACTAAGAGGAAAATAGGAAACGTGTATGAAATACATACCAACACCGTAGCCACACTATTTGGAAAAGCCTTTGCAAGAATGGAAAAGGAAGCAGTTATTGCTGCTGCAAAGCTGACTGCATCTGCCATTCTCACCAGAAAACACATAGCAATAAAAATTGGTCCTTCTGGAACTTGATCCAATACACTGAAAGAAAACAAGGCAATTTTCAAATGCATGGTGGGAAAAACAGTAGTATCTCACCCATAGTCCTTACAATAAATCTCTTTAGAAAAGGTTTTTTTTTTTTTTAGTTGTTTTGTTATACTTTCAATAGAAGGGAATTATCTCTCTCTTTTTTTTAGTAGCAATCTGAGTCATAATGACAGTTTAGTTGCACTTTTGTGCTGACATAATGGGCCCTCTACACAGTAACACTAAATTGGGCTTTTTGAAATATGTAGAATCATTCTGACAAGAATATATACAAAAGAAAGACTTCTTGGTCTCAGGTATGCCCCAGTGGTGGAACTCAAATCTTTAAAAAAAAAATGCAGAAAATAGATGACCCCCCACTTTCCCTGAAAAAGAGAGAGAGAGAGAGAGAGAGAGAGAGAGAGAAAGTCAGCAAAAAGAAAAAAAAAAGTTTGATATGAAGACTTCCTGGGCTTACTTCATCATTATCCCAACATACTCTTTTCATTTCTCTATGTTCTCCCAAGAAGTTGTGTGGGCTCTTCCATACTATTTGCCACTACGTGGCTGGTAAAGGATGCTAAACCTTAAGAACTTGTGAGCTATTTTGCCTCTGGCACTTATTTTCTCTTTTCCAGGAAATAGCAGTGGAGGGAACCACAACACAAGGGAGCACATGACTCAAGCCTGGCCAATCAGAGCATTCCCCCACCTCCAGTGCCCTTGAGGCAGGGATGGGTCACCACCAAGATCAGGCCAGTGGCTCCATTCTGCGAATCTACTGGAAGCTAGGAAAAGTGAGGAGCTGCTGGGCAATTCTTCCTATGGATGCCGCTGGAGAATTCTTGCTACCACAAGGGGACAGTTTGTCCAGAACAAAGCACAAGGAGAGGAAAGCAAAACCAGGAACTTGAGAAAGATTTCTGATTATATTATTTTAACATCTGTATCCTGATGTGCTCCAGCTGATTCTTTTTTTTTTTTTATTTTTATTTATTTATGATAGTCACACAGAGAGAAAGAGAGAGGCAGAGACACAGGCAGAGGGAGAAGCAGGCTCCATGCACCGGGAGCCCGATGTGGGATTCGATCCTGGGTCTCCAGGATCGCGCCCTGGGCCAAAGGCAGGCACTAAACCCCTGCGCCACCCAGGGATCCCTCCAGCTGATTCTTTAATGCACTGTGTGCTTGAGCCAAAACATATCCGTGACTCAAAAAAGTGAATTAGGTTTCTGTCACTCACACTGACAGAAGTCCTAATGAACAGATTCAGAAGCCACTTAACGTTAAGTCCTTAGAAGACTCCTTCCTTTATTTGTTCTATCCTCTAAGCACCCAATTTCCTTCACCCATAGCTACATGCTGAGCATGCAACAGACAATCAACAGTTCTGATGGATTTAAAAAATCCATTAACATTTTAAACTGAAGGTAAATTATAAAATCTGTTCAAGCTCCCAAACGTATTGGAACATGACTTACCCAAAGAGAATTGTAACTCCTCCTGAGACAAACATTCCTGCTACAAACATAAATTTTGCTCCAATCTGTACAAGCTGTAAGAAATGTCAGAAAAGAGGGATAGATTGATGACTGTTATGAGTCTACATCCACATAAACAAATCCACTGTATCAGAACATACAAGATTTGGGAAAGATATATACAATTAATATAAGATTATAATAATTCTTTAAAGGAATGACAACATACATCTCTTCAAACATGGAAGAAGTGAAAAATCAATCAACTTATTATGGTCAGAGAAAGACCAATCCCATACAATCTCACTCATATGTGGAATTTAAGAAACAAAACAAATGAGCAAAGGGGAAAAAAGAGACAGAGACACAAACCAAGAAACAGACTCCTAACTCTAGAGCACAAACTGATGGTCCCCAGAGGGAGGTGGGGGTGGGGAACACAGGTGAGATGGGGGTGGGGATGATGGAGGGCACTTGTGAGGAGCACTGGGTGTGGTACGAAGTGTTGAATCTCTGTATTGTGCCCCTGAAACTAACATTACACTAATGTTAACTAATTGGAATTCAAACAAAAACTTAAAAAAAAAAAAATCAGTCAACCATAAGAATGGAACAATCAACAGTAGCATAATTCAAAAAATATAATGATAGCTATTTCTGTATCAATAGAAATTCTAGATTGATAAATTAGAATAACTCATTATGAACATATAAAAATTAAAATGTTCTTTAATACTTACATATTTTCCAAATACCAAAGATGCCAGCAAGTCAAACAAAGCATAACATCCAAAGATCATACCCGTAACTGTATTGCTGACTCCTTTCTTCTCAGCCTTTAAAGAAACAGTAAAGGAACAAAGTTTGAAAGACAAATTCTCATCCATGTGGAAAGATGGAGCTATTAGATCAGAGCATTGTTTTATGGTAACGTTTATCTACATAGCAATTTCACAGATTGTCATTTTATTTTTTTAAGAGTTTATTTATTATTTATTTGAGAGAGAGAGCACAAACAGAAGGGAGGAGCAAATTCCCACCTAGCAGGGAGCCCAGTGTGGGGCTCGATCCCAGGAACCTCAGCCAAAGGCAGACACTCAACTGGCCAAGCCACCCAGGCACCCCCAAATATTATCATTTTAAAACAAGCAGAATGGGGAAGGAAGGGAAGCTATAATAAAATCATTTCTGACATGAAAGCTATTCACTCACCACACCCATAAAAATTGTTAGCTTTATAATCTTGAGAAAAGAAAAACAGAACCGAAGGCAATGCATTTCACGATTTCAAAAATAAATTACAAGAGTGCCTGGTGGCATAGTCAGGTAACCATCTGTTGATTTCAGCTCAGGTCATATTCTCACGGTCATTAAATCAAGCCCCACACTGGGGCTCTGCACAGGACATAGAGTCTGCTTAAGATTCTCTCTCTCCCTTTGCCCTTTCCCCCACCCCCATTAGCATGCTATAAATAAATAAATAAATAAATAAATAAATAAATAAATAAATAAATAACTGAAGTAACTAAAACAGCATGGTACTGGCATAAAGATAAACATATGGAACAAATTAGAGAGCCTAGAAATAAACCACACAGTCCATTGATGTTCCACAAACAATGAAGAAAGGATAGTCTCTTCAACAAACGGCATCAGGAAAACTAGATATCCACAAATAAAAGAATGAAATCAGACCCCTGTCTTAACCTACTCACAAAATTGACTCAAAAAGACTTAAATGTCAGACCTGAAACTATCAGACTCCTCAAAGGGGGATGCTTCTTGACATTGGTCATGGCAATGATTCCTTGGATTTGACACCAAAAGCTCGGTCAACCAAACCAAAAGTAGATAGATGAGATGAGAAGTCATCAACTGATAAACCAAAGAGAGAGGCCTGAACAGACCCCCCCCCCCCACAGTCCTCAGAAGGAACCAACCTTCCCAACACCTTGATCCCAGACTTCTAGCGTCCAGAACTGTTAGACAATGAATTTGTTGTTTAAGCCACCTGGCATGTGGTACTTTTGTTATTGCAGCACTAGCAAACTACAACAGGTACCTCAACGGGAAGATATCATCAAAGAAGTCAATGAAGACATGGAAAGAAGATGCACTGGTCAAGTCACATTATCCACGTTCTTTGCTTAATGGATCTAATAAGTATTTAATCCTGGAGTCTGGCATTATTTATACAATAGCTTTGCAACTAACATTTATTTGGACTCTCACTATGAGCCAGAATCTCTATTAAGTGCTATTTTACATGCTTTCTACAAACAGTTAAATGAGGGATGTATTTTTAGCTGGCTACATTTTATAGATGAGGAAAGGACACAGACTTGCAAAAGTCACACAGGAAACCATGATGGTTTCCAACCTGTGCAGGTTCCCACACTCACTATGGAGATAGGATGGTGACTTCAGATATCCTAGAAGCACATTCCATGGCAGCAGCCAAATATCACTTTTGGAATGTGGATCCTGCTTCACATTAGAAAAGCAAGGATAGCTATTAAAAGCAATTTCTAGTTCACATGTTATCCTGTGACAAAGAAGAAGGGTGCCAGAAAAAGGATGAGTAGAAATAGGAATCCTGCACCAGAATTTAAAAAGAGCCCTATTTTTCCTTGGTCTCATTAGCTCTAGCTAATAGAAAGGATACATGCAGGAGGAAAGGTAAGTTTTACCAGCACATTTGGCAACCACAAGGCTTTATTTTAATAAAAAATGAAAAGGATCCTAGATACTCTTTGTGTCTAGGTCTTTTAAAGCTAGAATGCTCTTTCCATGCCTCTGTCTTCAGCCTTCCCTCCTGTAAGCAAAAAAACTAAATCAAAACTTAAAAAGCACAGCATAGGGAATATAGTAAAAAATACTTCAATAACTGTAGGGTGACAGACGGTAACTATTTATTGTGGTGACCACTATATAATGAAGAGAATTGTATAATTGTTATGATGTAGACATAAAACTAATATAACAATGTATGTCAAGTACATGTCAATTTTTTAAAAGATTGGAAAAATTATTAACAAAATAACAAAACACAAATCTACAGTCTTGTTCTTCTTTGTATTCCACTAAGGAGAAGCTAACTTGCTAGCCAGGAAATACCCTGCTAACTGGTTGCTCCAGTTACTCCAGGTCCTCTCTGTCCTAATTACAGAGGCTCAACCTATCATTATATCTTCCAAAACCCAAAACTGATCAGGCTACTCAGTCTTGTTCAAATACCTCTCTTTTTTCTTTTCTTTAGCTTTTATGTATTTATTCATGAGACACAGACATAGGGGCAGAGACATAGGCAGAGGGAGAAGCGGGCTCCCCGTGGGGGGCGGGGGGCGGCACTCAGGGATCACGCCCTGAGCCCAAGGCAGCTCAACCACTGACCAACCCAGGCGTCCCTTGTTCAAATATCTCTGATAGCTTCTCGCTGACATCTTTGGCATAAATGGAAGGACCCTTGCATTCTAGCTTCCCCTGCCTCCTCAGATTTGCTCCTGTGGAACTTCTCTTCCATCCCAGGCCCAAGCCACATCAAGTTGTCTGCTTTCCTCACAGAGAACGTGCTATTTACTTTGCCTCTGTTGTTCACCTTGAGAACATATTTCTCAAGACTCCCCTTGGATTCATCCTGTGAAGTCTCTTTCAACACTAGCCTTTTTCTCCCTCCCTCGCCACCCTCACACATGACAAAATTAACCATTCCTTTCTCTTAAGAGTCTCCTAACAATTTGAACAGCCTTTTGGTAAAGGGTGCCCAAATACTCTGCAACTTATGTTTTTTTCATATTTTCTCACTCCCAGTGGATTGACAAGAGAGGTAAGTTTTCCACATCTCTTTTTTTGTCCTAACAGCATCCAATGCCTGCATGCCCTGGAGGGGGAGGCCATTAACCCTTCCACTCCCATTCGGTAAATAGAACTAAATCAGACTAGTCACTGAACTTCATCAGGAACGTGATGAGATCCTCACTACTCTGCCTATATTCTGGATTAGCTAGATACCAAATGCAATAAATGTGTGCAAAAAAACATTGAAAACTAAAGAGCACTGTAAGGGTATGGAGTCACATCGTTCCTCTAGCAAAGAAGCCATTTCCATCCTCCTTGGTAACACAAAAAATAAAGGGCTACACATTATTAAGGCAGTTAGAGGACCCAGAGGGGTCAGTGCAATTAGACCTGAGGCTTTGGCAAAGAGTACAAGGTAAAACTCAACTCAGCCAAGCCAGGACCATTTCTTCCATGTTATAGCCCACCCACGTCCAGAGTTCATGTGGATTCTCTACAAGTTAATTCCCCCTTGAGTCTGTGTCATGACCTGCAAATCCACATAAAAGGCAATGATTGGAAGGAGCTAGCCAATATTAACCAGAATTCCTTCTTGGCACCAACCACTGCTACTAGATTCCGTAAAAAATTCAAGCCTGAAAAAGGGATTTACTGGGACCAAGCCTTCCTAATTCCAAAATACTACTAAGTTAAAAACTCCAGGAGACAAACTTCCCGTCTTCGCAAAGACCTTTTGCAATAATGCTAAAATCTCAGTTACTAGACCACCCCCTTTGTTTTGGTTGCAGAAACCAAAGATTTATCAAACTACATGGTGACTAAGCAGTCCTCAGAAGGTCAATTATATTTAGGTGAGTTATCTCCCAAGAGGATTTTCTTTCTGACTGGATTTTTTTCCCCCTCTGGCATCAAGTATTCCATCAGAAGTCTTTCTGCCGTGGATCCCTGGGTGGCTCAGCAGTTTGGTGCCTGCCTTCGGCCTTGAGGCATGATCCTGGAGTCCCGGGATCAAGTCCCGCATTGGGCTTCTTGCATGGAGCCTGCTTCTGCCTCTCTCTCTGTTTCTGTCTTTCTCTCTCTCTATCATGAATAAATAAATAAAATCTTAAAAAAAAAAAAGTCTTTCTGCTTACCAAAGTTCTATGCATCATCTTTACTAAATGCAGATTTGTATATTTTACACACCATAAAATGAAATAATTCATAGGGCTTTTTAAAAAAATTAAAGTTCATAAAAATGTCTCACCTCCTTGGGAAAAAAGGGTCCTAGGATAGAATAGCACATCATAGAACCCAGGTTAATGGAAGCTGCTGATATCAGTACAAAGAACTGTTCTCTGGAAAGCTGTCTGGGTGTCTCTCTTGTATTTCCCAGAGAGTCATCACCTTAAATGCAAACATGGTATAATTACAGGCATATAATTGGGACTTTTGATTGAAGTTTCCAAATGTCACTTCTGTGCACTCTGAAGATAATGTCTGCAGAACTGAGGGCTATTTTGAACATAGCACATCTGATCAAATGTAACACAGAGCTTGTACATCACTACTATTCTGAAAACATTTTCAGGGCAGAATTTATCAAACCATCTGATCTGTGTTGCCTTCTCTATTTCTTCCACCTTTAATAAATTCCTTCAAGAAGGATGAGGCAACAAGGAGGTCTCTGCAGTATAATTTCTCAAGTCACCAGCTTCATAGGCTACATGAGCTTAAAATGTTCTAAGCAGGTCATGTTAGCTGTTCATTAAGCATTCTAGGGTAGTACTGAAGTTAAGTGAAGTGTGAGGAAAAAACAAGCTAAAGCATTCAACTGGGGAACGAATACTTACAATGGGATGCTCCTGGAAAGACATGTCTCACTAATACATAAATCGACACCTATTTCACACTTAATAACTAGCCTTTTGCACCGATTATTTTCATACTGATTTCCAGGGCTACGTGTTCATTTAATTTAAAGACAATAGGTCAGTTACTCAATTGCAAATATTCATTTTTGAATTCAACAGCTTGAGAAAAAGGAAATGTAGGTATGAAAACTTTACTTGGTTTGCTCTACTTTTCAGAGGTTCCCACTGCAGTCCAGGAAAAAAAAAAAAAAAAAAATCTGTGCAAGACGAGGAAGTCTCCAGAACCTTCATACAGCTTTGGAGGAAAGGGCGGAGGGAACGAAGAGCAAGCGTAAGGGGGAACAGCAGGTGCTCCAACGCAGCGCTTCACCTTCGTCTGACCACGTCCGTGCTTGAGCGCACCCCGACAGTCAGGAGACCTCGCCCAGGCCCTCTGACCTTCCACCCCTTCCAGACAGGGCAGAGGCTCAGAGCCGAAGCCCACCGCCAGGCCCCGCCTCGCCCAATCTCTCTGAAACAGACCGAGCTCAAACGAACCCAATCGTTAGGGAGAGTCAGGACCCACGCCACTAGGGGTGTCCCCCCGCACCGCCCTCGGTCACCTCTGGGGGGGCGTGGGCCCTCTGGACCCCCCGGCGCGTCCATGCGCGGCTCGGTGCACGGGCTCCGGCGCCGCAGCTCCCCGGGTCCAGGCCCGCGGACTCCGCCTCGCAGGAGCCCTCCGCCGGGCGGCGCCCGCTCGGCCCGACCTCGGCACCGAGGACCCCCCAAGGGGCGGGGCGGGGGCGGGGGCGGGGGCGGGGCGGGGCCGGGGCGGGGCCGCGCTGCTGCCGGTGGTTTTTTTTCTTTCTTTCTTTTGTTTTTTTTTTAAAGGCGCATGCTGCTATGATAATCCACGCCCTCGGATAGGCTGTGCTTTTCATTCCGTGTAGGGTGACGTCGGGGAGGACTAATCTACGTTCTAAGTAGGTGAACCCCCTCGTTTAAAATGAATTAAATGTCTTTCCACTAAAGGTGAGAAAGGAAACTCACACAGACACAGAAAAGGGGCCGCCACCTTCCTGCCATCACAACCTGCTGGCGCGCACACACAGAAGCTTCACTTGACCTCACCTTATTTGCTATTTGGCAACAACTGATGTTTGAGGCCTGGGAAATTTTTGATTCGAGATCAACATAAAATTTAAAGAACTACTGAGTCACCACTTTGTTTCAGGCATTGTGAATTCAAAGACGAATAAGCCCCATCCAGCCTCCAGCGGCGTAGCTCCGCCCCAAGAAACAGACACCTGTTAATGATTCATTACCACGCAGCGAGCTCCGTAATAGAAACGTGTTGGAAGAACTCTCCACTTTGGCTGGGTCCAGGACGGCTTCTCCAGGGAAAGGTGTTACCTTGCGTCTTAAAGCTTACGCAAAAATTGCTTGGGCAGGTTAGAGCCATTCTCAACAGAAGGATTAGTTCTCGCGTAGGTTCCTTCAAGTATCTTTGCAGAATCTTTATGATCTTACCTCCACCAGCTTCTCCAACTTTATTTACTTTACATTCCCTCTCCAATCTAATATCAAGCCATGAAGGAGAATTTTTTTTTTTTGGAATTATTTCTTTGATGATTACATTTCCTTTTTTGTTCTCGCTTTCTGGACGGCTCCTTATGCAGATATTGGGTCATCCAGAGTGAACCTCTTATTTATTCATCTTCTCGTCTACTTTTCAACTCTTCCTATTCTTGCTCCATCTTATAGGAATTTCTCCCAACTTTATCTTCCAAGTCCTACAGCTGAATTTTTCATTTCTATTATCATTTATTTCTCTCTATCCCTATTCCCATTCCCCCATCGGCAGTCATTCTTGCATGGTTTAGTGGTTTTTGTTTTTTTTTTTTAATTTTTTTTAATTTATTTATGATAGTCACAGAGAGAGAGAGAGAGAGGCAGAGACATAGGCAGAGGGAGAAGCAGGCTCCATGCACCGGGAGCCCGACGTGGGATTCGATCCCGGGTCTCCAGGATCGCGCCCTGGGCCAAAGGCAGGCGCCAAACCGCTGTGCCACCCAGGGATCCCTTTGTTTTTTTTTTTTTTTTAAGATTTTGTTTTGAAGTAATCTCTACACCCAGTGTAGAGGGCTCAAATTTACAGCCCTGTTATTAACAGTCATATTCTCTACTGGCTGAGCCAGCCAGGTGCCCCAATCTTGCATATTTAAAACAAATCTTTTTTTTGTATGTATTTCCATAAGATGTATATTCTTGTTTTGCACCCATCTATTTTTCATGTATATAAAGTGTACCGTGGTATACATTCATATTCCTAACTCTCTCTCCACTTCCATTTTCTACTTCCTATCTTCCGTTTACATGTTCAGTGTTACAGCTGAAAATACTATTATATTAGTTTTCTGGGGTTGTTGTAACCAATTGCCACAAAGTTGGTGGCTTAAAACAACACAGCCTTGTAGGCCAGAAGTTCAACATCAATTTCACTGAGACAAAGTCCAAAAGGATCTCAAGATCTTTAACTTAATCATGTCTGCATGGACCTTTCTTTCAAATAAGATAACGAGTTCTAAAGATTAGGATGTGGACATATCTTTGGGAGCCATTATTAGCCTACTGCAAATATCCATTCATAATTTTATATACTCATCATAGACATATGAACACATTTGGAACCCTTTTATTTATAAACTATAATGGAATATTTTGTTTAAATGCTACTTCCTCAGGGAAGTTTATTCTTGGAGGATCTTTTTATCGGATATAGGAATATGGGGAGAGAGTTGTTATCTTTCAGCTTCTTTGGGACATGATTCTACTGATTTTGATCTCTATAATTTCTCATGAGAAATCAGTATAATTTTGCGTGTTACATACCTTTTTATTTTCCTGGCTGCTTTTTGGAATTTTCTCTTTGAGTTTCAATGGTTGACTTGTATGTGTCTAGGTATGCATGTATTTTTTTTCAAATTTGTATTTTAATTCTAGTTAGTTAACATATGGTGTAATATTGGTTGCAGGGGTAGAATTCAGTGATTCATCACTTATGTACAACACCCAGTGCCATCACCCACTTAGCCCATCCCCTGCCCACCTCCTCTTCATCAACCCTCAGTTTGTTCTCTAGAGTTAAGGGTCTTTTATGGTTTGCTTCCCTCTTTTTACCCCTTCCTTTGTGTTCATCTGTTTTGTTTCTTAAATTTCACATATAGTGAAATCATATTGTATTTGTCTTTCTCTGACTGATTTATTTCACTTAGATAATACACTCTCGCTCTACCCACATCATTGCAAATGGCAAGATTTCATTCTTTTTGATGGCTGAGTAATAATCCATTGTATCTATATACCATACCTTCTTTATCCATTCATCGATTAACAGATGTTTCAGCTCTATGGTTTGGCTATTGCTGATAATGCTGCTATAAACATTGGGGTGCATGTGCCCCTTCGAATCAGTATTGTTTGTATACTATGAGTAAATACTTTATAGTGCAATTGCTGGGATGTAGGGTAGTTTTATTTTTAACTTTTTGAGGAACTTCAAAAATTTTGCATTCCCATTAACAGTGTAAGAGGGTTCCCCATTTTCCATCTCCTCACCAACATCTGTTCTTTCCTGAGTTGTTAATTTTAGCCATCCTGATAGATGTGAGGTGGTATCTTATTGTGGTTTTGATGTGTATTTCCCTGATTTTGAGTGATGTTGAGCATTTTTCGTGTTCTTGTTGGCCTTCTGGATGTGTTCTTTGGAAAAATGTCTGTTCATGTCTTCTGTCCATTTCTTAACTGGATTCTTTGTTTTTTGGGGTGTTGAGTTTGGTAAGTTTTTTATAGATTTTGGATACTAACACTTTATCAGATATGTCATTTCCAAGTATCTTCTCCCATTCCATAGGTTGTCTTTTAGTTTTGTTAACTGTTTCCTTCACTGTGCAGAAGCTTTCTATCTTGATGAAGTCCCAACAGTCCATTTTTGCTTTGATTTCCCTTGCCTTTGGAGACATAACTAGAAAGAAGTTGCTACAGACAAGGTCAAAGAGGTTACTGCCCGTGTTCTTCTCTAGGATTCTGATGGTTTCCTGTCTCACATTTAGGTGTTTCATCCATTTTGATTTTATTTTTGTGTATGGTGTAAGAAAAGTAATCCAGTTTCATTCTTTTGCATGTGGCTGTCTAGTTTTCCCAACATCATTTGCTGAAGAGACTGTCTTTTTTCCATTGGATATTCTTTCCTACTTTGTCAAATATTAGTTGACCGTATAGTTGTGTGTCCATTTCTGGATTTTCTATTCTGTTCCACAGACCTATGTGTCTGTTTTGTGCCAGTGCCACATTGTTTTGATGACCACAGCTTTGTAATATAGCTTGAAGTCCAGAATTGTAAAGCTTCCAGCCTTGCTTTCTTTTTCAAGATTGCTTTAACTGTTCAGGGTCTTTTGTGGTTCTATACAAATTTTAAGAGTGTTTATTTTAGCTGTGTGAAAAATGCTAGTGGTATTTTGATAGGGTTTGCATTAAATGTGTAGATTGCTTTGGGTAGTATGGACATTTTAACAATATTCATTCTTCCAATCCATGAGCATGGAATGCTTTTACATTTCTTTGTGTCCTCTTCAATTTCATAAATATTCTATAGTTTTCAGAGTACCTCTTTTGGTTAGGCTAATCCCTAGGTATCTTAGGGTTTTTGGTGCAGTTATAAATGGGATTGATTCTTTGACTTCTTTTCCTGCTGCTTTTTTTTTTTTTTTAAAGATTTTATTTATTCATGAGAGACACAGAGAGACACAGGCAGAGGGAGAAAAGCAGGCTCCACGCAGGGAGCCTGATGTGGGACTCAATCCCAGGTCTTCCAGATCAGGCCCTGGGCTGAAGGCAGCGCTAAACCGCTGAGCCCCCCGGGCTGCCCTTTTCTTGCTGTTTATTTTTGGTGTATAGAAATGCAACAGATTTCCACATGTTGATTTTATATCCTGCAACTTGGCTGAGTTCTTGTATCAATTCTAGTAATTTTTTGGTGAAGTCTTTTGGCTTTTCTACATAGGTCAGCTGCAAATTGTGAAAGTTTGACATCTTTCTTTTGATTTGGGTGAGCTTTTGTTGTCTGATTGCTGAGGCTAGGACTTCTAGTAGTCCTTTGTTGAACAACAGTGATGAAATGGACATCCCTGCCATGTTCCTGGCCTTAGGGGAAAAGCTCTCAGTTTTTCCCCATTGAGAATATTAGCTATGGGTCTTTCATATATACCTTTTATAATGTTGCGGTATGTTCCATCTATCCCTACTTTGTTGAGTGTTTTTGTCAAGAATGGATGCTGTATTTTATCAAATGCTTTTTCTGCATCTGTTGAGAGGATCATGTTCTTATCCTTTCTTTGATCAACGTGGTGTATCACACTGATTGATTTGCAAATATTGAACCATCCCTGCAGCCCGGAATAAATCCTACTTGATCATGGTGAATCATTCTTTTAATGTACTGTTAGATTTGATTTGCTAGTATCTTCTTGAGGATTTTTTACATCCATGTTCGTCAAGGATGTTGGCCTAGCATTCTCTTTAGGGGGGGTCTTTGCCTAGTTTCGGAAAAAAGCTGGCTTCATAGAATGAGTTTGGAAGTTTTCCTTTCCTTTCTATTTTTTTTGGAACAGTTTAAGAAGAATAAGTATTAACTCATCTTTAAATGTCTGGTAGAATTCCTCCGGGAAGCCATCTGGCCCTGGAATTTTGTTTGTTGGGAGATATTTGATTACTGATTCACTTTCTTTGCTGGTT